GGGCAATAGATCCGAACAGACACCTCACTGAAGAAGATATACAAATGGCAAATAAGTATATGAAAAGATTAAAAGAAAAGTATATACTTTCATAAGTATATGAAAAAAAAAATGTTCCATATCATGTCAGTAGGGAATTGAAAATTAAAATAATATACCATTATATATCTGTTAGGATGGTGGGCAAAATCCAAAACACTGACAACAACAAATGCTGAAGGGACTGTGGAGCAATAGCAACTTTTACTGCATTTGGAAATGCAAAATGGGGGAAATTCCTTAGAGGTCCGTCCAGTGGTTAGGACTTGGTGCTCTTCATCCTTGGTCAGGGAGCTAAGAGCCCACAAGATGCGTGGCAGTGTCAAAAAAAAAAAAAATGGTACAGCTACTTTGGAAGACAGTTAAGCAGTTTCTTACAAAAGTAAACATATTCTTGTGGGAGGGAGAAAGAATTAGATGAAGGTAGTCAAAGGGTACAAATTTCCAGTTATAAGAAAAATACGTACCAGGAATGTAATTTATAACATAATAGTGATAATTAACAATGCTGAACATTATAAATGAAAGTTGGTAACAGACTAAATCCTAAGAGTTCTTTCTCATCACAAGGAAAAAATATTTTTTAATCTGTAACGTGTTATCTATATGAGAAGATGGATAGGTTCACCAAACCTACTGTGGTAATCATTTCATGACATATGTAAGTCAAATAATTATGTTGTATTCCTTAAGATTACACAGTACAGTATATTAATTATATCTCAATAAAAATGGAAGAAAATAAAAACATATTCTTACCATACAATCCAGAAACTGTGGTCCTTAGTATTTATCCAAATGAGTCGAACACTTATGTCCATGTAAAAACTTGCAGCTGGGTCTTTATAGCAGTACTTTTATTGCCAAAACTTGGAAACATCCAAGATGTTCTTCAGTAGGTGGATGGATAAACTCTGGTACTTCTAGACAACAGAATATTATTTGGCCCTAAAAACAAGCAAACAAAAAAAATTAGTTATTAAGCCATGAAAAGAATCTTACATGCACATTATTAAATGAAAGAAACCAATATGAAAAGGCTATATATTATATGATTTCAACTATGCAACATTCTGAATAAGGTAAAACAACAGACTCAGTGAAAAGATTAGCGGTTGTCAGGGGCTAGGTGAGAGTGGGATGAATAGGTAGAGCACAGGTGATTTTTAGGGCAGTGAAAATATGCTGTATGATATTATAATGGCAGATATGTGTCAAGATATGTTTGTCATAACCCACAGAATATACACCACCAAAAGTGAACTCTAATGTAAGCTATGGAATTTGAGTGATAATGGTGTATCAACACACACTCATTGTCACAAATGTACTAGGTGGTGGAGCTTTTGACAGCTGCGCATGTATAGAGGCATTTATAAAACATCTGCATGTATAAAACATTTTTAAGATTTATTTCTTCTCCATCCGAACTGTCTTCTTACTGCCAAAAACTAGGCCCTTTCTCCACTACTGGAGGAATTTTCCAATCTCCCAGTTAATCTCCTTGTCTGCTGCTGCTGCTGCTAAGTCGCTTCAGTCGTGTCCGACTCTGTGCGACCCCATAGACGGCAGCCCACCAGGCTCCTCCATCCATGGGATTTTCCAGGCAAGAACACTGGAGTGGGTTACCACTGCCTTCTCCAGTCTCCTTGTCTAGGTAGTTCTTATTAGCTATTCTGGACACTCTTGCCCTATACACCTTTGCAAGACTCTTTTAGAACTCTTCCAGTCAATGTTCTAGTCCAGAACTTGCTACTTTACCTCAGCATAAATTCTGTATCCCACACATTTAAGTCCCTGCTGATTTTAGCTCCTATTTTCTCCATCATTGCTTAACGCTGGTTTTTGCTTGAGGCACAGGTCCTCTTTCCTTTGTTTCAGAACTGATCAGGCTTTGCTTTATTCTTTTTCCTCACTTGCAGTGTTCACATTCTACCCATTTCTTCAAGGTCCAAATTAAATGCCACTTTCCTCCTTGAAGATTTTCCTGGCAGCTCCAAGTCACATTCATAGCTCGCAAATAATTATTCTTACGTGCTGTAGTTGGGACAAGATAGTGGAATCCTCAACTCTTATCTCTTAATTTGACCTATGAGCAGAAGACCTAGGAACCTTACCTGCTACAGTGGGACATGTATCTATAGATATTAGAGGTGCAAATGTGTAATTTACAAAATACTAGTTCTTCAAATTTATGCAGCAGCTCCTCTGCTTAAAGGAACACTCCTCAAATACTATCACGTAACACTCATTTTTGTTTTTTAAATACAGTGGGTATATGGGGCATGGGTTTACGTATCTCACAAACCAAGGGATTCATTTCTTGATTAAAAGAAAAAGAAAGCTATATTCACATTTCCAACTAATTACATCTTAACTGTCTCCAAGTGCGCCTTATAAGCAGGCATATTTTGTTTTCAACGCGTGTGAAATAAAACGTTCGAAGGGAATAACTACGGACATACTTAAGATCACAACCCACAGGAAAAAGTCGAAATCACACTCGAGGTACTGCTGCTTCCTGGGAACGCCGGCGGGCCTGAATTCAAAGCTTTTGGAACCTCAGCTCTCTCGTCCGTACAATGGAGAGGATACTCGACAATATTTACCTCACAAGACTGTGGTGAAAGGTTTTCTTTCCGAACTGCCGGGCAGTTCGCCTCCCAGGACCTAAGGGTGGCGCTTTTCTTCCCGCGACGCACTTCCGTGCGCGAGGAGGGGTGACCAGCGAGGAGGAGGAGAAGCTGGCGCCAGAGGCCGGGTCGCAGAGGTGGGAGGCCGGGCCAGGACGGGTTGGGCCGCAGCTTTGACGTGCAGCGTGGGGGCTTTCAGCAGGAGCACGCCAAGTGTGTACACACCGTGCAAAACACGCTGAGCGTGCGTGCACCCGTGTGCGCGCGGTGCTGGGAGCGCGCTTGAATTGCCAACGAAACGTGAAGGCGCAGAGCGTACGATAGGAAAGCGACAGCTGACGCGCCGAGGGAGCCGGAGGCCCTCGGTAGCGGCGACGAAGCTACCGGTCGCTCGGCGCCCCGGCGCTGCGCGACCCTGCGCCGCGGGCCGACGGGTCTCCGCAGCGCCCCCACGTGGCGGCCGAAGGGGTCGCAGCCAGCGGAGCCCATTTGCTCCGCCTCCGCGGCGCACTGCTGCCCTCCGCAGCTTCCCCGCCCGGCTTTCCCTCGACCCTCCTCCCTTCCCCCTCCCGGATCGCGATGGACGCGGCCTCCCCCCGCCGCCGCCGCCGGCATTACGGCGCGGGCCTCTAAGCTGCAGGGCGTGAGGAGCCGCGTGCCGGGGACGGGACGTGAGCTGGCTGCCGCCGGTCTGGGGAACCTCTGGCTTCCCTGTCACCAGGCCCCCGCGGAGGAAGGGGAGGGACAAGGCGCGGCTTTTCCTGTGCCGCCAGCCCGGCTCGACCTGCGCGGCCTGCGGCTTCCTGGGAACTCGAGGGCCGCGGCCGGGCCTGGCTCAGCCCGCGGCCTGCTTGGAGCTGGACCGGAGCGGTTTGAGACGACAGGCTTGGGTAAGAGCTTGAGGAAAGGGGACGCAGGAGCGCCTTCGGCGGTCGGAAGGGTCAGGCCTGGTGCCGGGATCAGGGATGCCCGGCGGTAGCCCGGGAGCGAGACCCCGGCCCCTGGTGAGGTCGGCAGGCTGCCGCCGACTCACCCGCCTGGCCCCTTTGTTTTCCTCCCCCGACCCTGCCCACGGTGGGCCCCGGCTTGTCCAGGCCAGAGCCCATGGTTGCCCCCCCTTGTCCTTGAGAAAGGATCGCCGCCCGACGGGGCCAGGGACGTCCCGCCGGGCCTCGGAGTTCCGGGCGCCGCTCCCGGGAGACCCATCGCCCTGCCTGCTCCGGCCTCCACTCGGGTAGAGAGGCTCGCAGCTCCACCTCCAAAACTTACCCTCCTCCTCGACACAGGTAGCTAACTTAGCCGGGTTTGGTTCGGGAAAACCGGAGCGCGGTGCCTGCGTCTCCCGGCGCCGGGTCGGCTGGGCCCTGAGTTTTGGGTCAGCCTTGCGGATCGCCGCCGTTGGGCGCCCACCGGAACCTGCCGCTGGATTTATGCACCTGCAGCTGGGTTACAGGGGACCCAGCGCTGTCCTCTGGTCAAGAGTGCTTCTGAGTTTTTGTATTGACTTGCCTGCTGGGGCTGCTTCGCTGTTGTTGTTGCTGTTGTTTTTAGCCAACTGCCCCATTCGGTGGGGATGGGGAGAGAGGACCGCAGATTGGCTTGTGTTCTGATCTGTAACGTGTTAGTCCATTGCACTTGTAGCATTTCTTTTCAAACTTTTTTTTTTTAACTTTTAAGAACAGTTGCTGCTACTGCCGAAATTCCTAATCAAATCTTAGATAGATCTTGTATATCGTTTGTATTTGAACATCTTAAGGATAGCAGTAAATTAAATCAGCACAATTTAAGAAATTGAAGATAATTTTAAAGTAGAGACTTGATTTGGAGGGGAATTGGATCAAAGTGCTAAGTTTCCTTAAAATACTGAATCTAATCCTTATCAGAAGATCAGTTTTGGGTGACGGGAGGGGCAAAGAAGTTTTCTGGAAAAAAAAAAACCCTTAGTAAGGTGTTGTTTGCCTTTTGGCAAACACGTTAGTGATAGCAATAGAGGGATCCGAAGCTTGTTTGACTGTCTTTGACAAAGACGGCTCTGGTTTCCAGTTTAAGCAGCAGCCTAATCAGCTTATACTCTTGTGCAAAACTGGTTTTTATTTAGTACAATGTATGAAGTTAAACCCGAGGAATAAGAAAAGTTGAAAAACTATGGTTAAGTACACTATCCAACATATTTATGAGTCTTTTCTAATTCCTAGGACACCAAGAAAATCTGGCTCTAGTCAATGTAAAAGAAAAGAAAAAAAATTAAGCTCACGCTGTTCAGTCCTAGACATTTAAAGGACTTTTTGCCTTTACTTTTTAAATTTAAGCAAAGAAGCTTAAAAAACCATGGCAGATGTGGACCCAGATACATTGCTGGAATGGCTGCAGATGGGACAAGGAGATGAAAGGGACATGCAACTAATAGCCCTTGAACAGCTATGCATGCTGCTTTTGATGTCTGACAACGTGGATCGTTGTTTTGAAACGTAAGTATATCCCTTCGTCATCTTCCTTTGGGGGTGCTGTAGTGACATGTACGTAACATGTTCTCAACCATCTGCTGATTTGAGTTTGTATAGAATTTTTCTTCAGTGAGTTATAAAACTTATCTTTTGAAAAGTTTCTGTAGTTTTGCATTTACAGCCTTCTGAGAAATAAAAATTGTTAAGTAAACTAACTCCAGTAATAATTGTGATGACACAAATAGATGTTTGTTGATTGAATAGGAATTAGTCAAGAATGCTAATTCTACCCCATAATCTGATTGACTCCGTTTCAAAACATGTTATGAACTGAGAAAATGCAAATACTTCTTTATTTCTGTATCAAGAAATTGACCTGAAATTGATATGAAAATACAGATAACAATGAATACATTTCCAACTGCCCTTTCTTCATTGGTAGTAAGTCTTAGGACACTGTTTTGTTTTGGCATTGTTGTTTTGGGGTTTTTGTTTGTTTGTTTTTTGTTTTTGTTGCTCTGGTGGCACTGTGTGGCTTTCTGGATCTTAGTTCCCCAACCGGGGATTGAACCCAGGCCACTGCAGTGAGAGCAGTGAGTCCTAACCACTAGATTGTCAGGGAATTTCCTATACTTTTTTTTTTTTTCCCCTGTACTTTCCTTAAAGCAAATCATGGCTTTGTAAATTTCAGTTTGGAGAGGGTATAAATTGAATGTTAACCACATGGCATAGTTTTTGGAATAGTAGAAGCAGATTGAGATTTGAGAGTTTAAGTAATTTTATTTAGAGGATTATGTGGAATTTGTGCAAAAATGTAAAGGAATCATTACTAGATTGGACATTAATGCCATGTTTTTCCTCTTATGTTGTACTTGCCCAGTTAGATTAACCATTCTTCTAAATGCTGAACGTGTTTGGTTTTTATTTATCTTATATTTATGATTTTGAATTCTGGTGATAAGTCAATGAAAACTCAGATGCTTCTATATTGGTTTTAATGCCATTTTGAAGTAATTAGTAGAAAATGTTTGAGATGTTGACAAAATTTGGTATAAATTATCTTAATTTCTTTGAGGTGGGAATAAGGCTATATTACTCACTAAATGGATGTATTTTTGATCATTTTCATTTTTGAATGAATCACTAATGAAGATGAATTAGTAAATGAATAGTTAATAATCTTAGTTGTAAGTCCCATTGAGGCAGTAGTATTAAGAAAAAAATCCTTGTGAACAAAGTTTCCAAATCGCAGTCTGTGACTCATTTATTTCAAGTAGTTATTGTTATTGGCAAACTCTGAGAACATAATAATTTCGCCCCTTTATTAACACTTGTTTTGGTCAGAATCATAAAACAGTGAAATAGATTTTTGAGCATTTGTAGCTTTCATTAGAGGGTTTTCATTAACCTGAGAATTACTTTTGGTATTTTAAAAAGTCGTACATAGCAGTCACATCAACTATCATATTCTCCATTAAGTACTGACATGTAGTAGTAGAGGTATTTGTAATGGCATTTTTAATAAGTGTCATTATATTAAAACAATTTTAAAGGAAATTGTTAAAATGTCAAACTCATCAATGCAAAATCCTACTGTTCTAGTATAATTGTTATTCTTTTCATTATCCCTTCCAGACTTTAGTCATATTTGGTATAATGTGGATGAAATTAAAATCATATGCAATTTATATTTTTTATTTACTAAGTGAAGATATAAGAAAATTTCATATTGGAATGGTTAGCCCTGTTTTATTTAGCATATCAGTAGTTTGTCTATCAAAAGTAGACATTTGATTAAATTTATGACAGTTGTTTTTTAAACCTTTAGCTTGCTTTCTTCATTCAGTAGCCAGATTTTCTTGTTATCAGAAGGAAAATTATCTTTAGTTTCTTTAAACCAGAGATGCAGCTTGGTGAGGTGGAAAGAATGGCTGTGTGTCACCAGAGACCTGGGTTCAGATTCTTGGTTTCCTAAATGAAGTTTACCCCTTGAGAGCTTTACTTTCTTCCTCTGTAAAAATGACAGTAATCTCATATCTGGTTTGCTCCTTGTGAGGAGTAAAGGAAAGAATGTATGTGAAAAGTGTTTTGAGTAAAGTGAGCCAATTTAATGTCCTTAAATATCTAATGTTGTATTTTATTTGGAGACTTTATTTCATGAAACTGTGGTGGGTTTTGAAGAACCTTTAAAAATTCTTTGAAACAGTCAACAAATAAGACAGGGGAAAAGCAGGATGATGTGCACATTTTAAATATGGGTGAAAATATCCCTTTTAACTTAATTTCATAAGATAGTAGCAAGTAGTCCTTTTAGTTACGTCAAGTAAAGCAAAAGATGCCTGTATGTTCAGATAGGCTTTTGTCTGATTAGCTTTGATTAGTAGTTACATGTTCGTTTAGTCAGGAAAGGCATATGGTGTGGTAAAAATAATGGCCTTTGGAATGAAATAGACACGGGTATAGGTTTTCATGGAGATTCAATGTGATAATACGAGTGAGATGCCTAACATAGTGCTTTTCACATAACAGTTAAGTGTTTTTTTCCTTTAACTTAATATTGTACATGGCTATCCCTTTTTTTGTACCCATCCTGACTTTGTTTTAATTTCGTTTTTGCTGTGCTGGGTCTTCATTGCTCTGCCGGCGTTTCTCCTGAGCAGGGGCTCCTCTTCGTGGTGGCGTGCAAGCTTCTCATTGCCGTGGTTTCTCTTGTTACGGAGCACAGACTCTAGGCACTTGGACCTCAGTGGTTGCAGCCTGTCGCCTCAGTAGCTGCCGCACAGGCTCCAGAGCTCAGCAGTAGTGGCGCATGGGTTTAGTTGCTCTGAGGCGTTTGGGATCTTTCCTGACCAGGGATTCAACCCGTGTCTCAGGTGGATTCTTTAGACCACTGAGCCACAAGAGAAACTCCCTGGCAGTCTTTTTGAAGTTAAGGGCTATACATTTTCTGTGAAACTGTGATACTTCTTACTAATGCCTGAATTTAACAAGGTAATGCTCTAGAAAGTGAAATTCAAGTTCAGAGTTAGTTTTTGCTTTCATCTGTGATACATTAGTGAGCTAAACTTAATGTAAGTTATACATTTGAAATAAATTTAATGAGTTATAAATGAGTAGTTTTGCATTCACATCAAAATAGGTGACCATTGTACATATTCTTTTTTTTTTTTTTTTTTGTACATATTCTTAAAAGTAGATAAATCCTGGGCAGTTGTAGATCCTGCTACTAAATCTTCAAATAATATAATTTATGTCTTCTGGGAAGAATCTAACATCTCCCCAGAAGATCTAGTAAATGGAAAGTCACCAGAAAGCTCATATTTAAAAAATAATCATCTTACTTCATTATGAAGACACAGAGGATATACAGTAAAGTGTAAGTCTCTCCCTTTCCTGTCTCCTGGGTGACCAGTTCTCCTCTCCAGAGGCAACCACCATTAATCATTTTCCTGGTGTATCCTCCCGGAGAGAAATATCCCAAGAACGACTGCCTCAAGTTTGGATTCCAATACTGAATACAGTGGTAAAAGCTTCCTATTGTGTATGTACAGTAAAAACTATTTAAAAATACCTACAACAGTGATAAGTCTTTTAATCTTTTAAATTGTCTTCCTACTTTTTATTGTTAAAAAGAAATATGCTGACCAAAGCAGATAACAATTTCTGCTCTTATGGTGCCTAGTAGTCTAATAAGGAACACATATTAAATAATTATAGAGATAAAATTGTGGTTACAAGCTTTGATAAGTGCAATGAAGGAAAAGTTCAGAGTGCTGTGACAGCAGGTAGCAGGGACATGACCTGGAGGAACAGGGGTAGTCAGAGTGGTCTTTAAGAAAGCGGTTTTTCTTAGAGATATGAAGGATGAGTAAGAATTTAAAGGATGACGTATAAGGTGGTGGGATAGAAGGATGTTTAAAGGGAAGGCAACATGTGAGGAATTTTGAAGTGGGATGAGCATGTCGTGGTTGAGGAATTTGGAGAAAGGTAGTATGACTGGGCATGGAAAGCTGTCTGGAGAACTGTGCTGAAAGTTGGGGCAAGATCAGATGGAACCTTGTGTATGCTTTTGGTTTTTTCTTAAGAGCAGTGATGTAAAAGAGTGAGTGATGGGATTAAATGTGTCTTTTAAAAATGCTAATTTTTTCTGCTCTATGGATAATAAATGGATGATGAGGACAGAATCAATGCTTGTAGATTTTGGAGGTAGAATAGTCAAATAGATTGGATGTGAGAGAGAGAAAGAAGACAGTACCGTGGATAATTCAGATTGCAGTGGATGATGATGCCATTCAGTGAGAGAGAAAATTGAAAGAGGACCATGTTTTTGTTTTTGTTTTTTTGACCATACCACATGACTTGTGGGATCTTAGTTCTCCAACCAGGGATTGAAACCGGACCCCTGCAGTGAAAGCATTAAGTCCTAACCACTGGACCACCAAGAAATTCCCAGGAGGACCATGTTTTTGAGAAATGGAGATCATGAATTTGGATTTGGCTAGATTCTCATATCTGCTTTGCATTTATTGTGTTGCATTATGTTGTTTTGATTGCAATATATGAAAAAATTATCATCCTCCAATAGATGTAGCTGGGAAAGGGAGGAATGTGGTAATGATGTCTTTACATAATTATGTATAGTCTCCTTTGATATCATACCCAAAGTGGGCAAAGTGATAGTTTCTTAAGAGTTAATTATAATGTGGATTCTGAAATCATGTCAATGAACTTGTACTCTTATAAATTAAAATCTACTGGCCTGTTTGGTACTTTGAGTGGGTGTTTTTTTTTAACCCATGTATAAGTTTAAAAGATCTTGCACTGGTCATGTGAAAAATATTGATCTGCTGAGTTATACAGATATTCCTAATGTTGCCATATGCCATTCTACACTGTCACAAACTCATATTTGTTATTATAAGTACTTAATCAGAAAAGTCTTCAAATAATGGGATGCTGTCAAGCTCATGGTGGCAGGAGCAAGTTTTTCAAAGTTGTAATTTTTGCTTGTAAGCTCGAATGTT